GAGAATGAGTGATAAACGCTTTCCCAAAGAAATCCTCTTTGGTGAACTAACAAGTGGAGCAAGGGCAAGAGGAAGGCCAAAGTTAAGATTCAAGGATATATGTAAAAACACTATGAAAAGGTTTGTCAATCCAAGCTCTTGGGAATCTACGTTATCAGATCACAACACCTGGCTACAATTATTACAACAGGTCATGTCATTTTTTGATAGGACCCGTGTAAGTTATGCAAAAGAACTCCGCTTCAGAAGGAAAAATTCTCAGACTCATGAAAATGAAAGTAGATTGGCATGTAACTATTGTAATCGACAGTGCAAATCTAATATTGGACACAAGCTATAAAAGAAGTTGCAAATCCAGGCATAATCATAGATTGTCACTGCCGCTGCTTACCACTATCTCTCGAGATGAATAAAACCAAGATGGGTGGCACCACCTGTTTTTAAGATTAGGCTCCACGTGCCATTATAAGACCCTGTTTTCCTTTGCTCTGAATTTTGCCAAGCTTTAACCATCTGAAATTTTGCAGGCCAAGTGTCTGCATCACATTGAATGTTTATGGAAAATTTCAGTCAAAATGAGTCAGCAATTCTAAGAACAAGACTAAGGCTACATCTATACTGCAGCCTTCTTCCGCAAAAGCTTATGCAAATGAAGCATGGCAATATTCTACTCCGCACTTCATTTGCATAAGCTTTGCGGAAGAAGGCTGCAGCACAGACGTTGCCTAGGAGAAAATACATTGTTTTGTCCATGTTAAGAAATTCTTGAAACCATTTTTTGAACAGCTCTCGTGTTGTCCTGTTTGGGAGCAGGAACTTGACCCATGGAAGGATTGGCATTTGTCACAGGGGTGTGCCTTTTGCTGTCCCTTAAAACCAAACTTGGCCCAGTTATACACCTTTGAAAAGTTACAGTTTTCACATGCTCAGTAGAGATTCCTTTGATTTTTAGCCACTAAAATCTCTGAAGATCGCTCCCTGGAGTTTCTCCCAGTTCTGAACAGAACATGAAAACCCCGTCCCACCAGTGCGTGAAACAGCCCAGGGCTAGAGGTGCTCCAGGCTGGGCACTGAAACTGAGCGTGGGAACCTCTCTCTTTTCTTTTGTGATCTGTTCTCAGCGATGCCCCCTGCTGACACCACTGAAACACGGAGGCGGAAACTGTCTGATTTGAATGTAGGAGAACAAAAGCCAGAAGTGGGGGAGGAAAGGAATAGATGGGGAGAAAGGGGGGGGGGGGGCAGGGAGCGGTGGGAAGAGAGAAACTGGGGGTAGCTGGGAAAAGAGCCTGGGACAGGCTAGGGCAGTGTTTCCTAAATGGTGTTCCATGGAACCCCGGCGTTCCATGAGAAAATTCCATTACAATAACATTTTATGATTTAAAAAAAAAATGTGTACACAGTAAATGTGGTTTTTGCTTTTAAATATGTGCAATTCAACGAAATATTGATCTCATGACCTTGTTTAGCATTCGTTATTGTTATCCGTATTTATTGGTGGTCTACTTTTTCAGCTCCATATATAAGACTGTTATTAGGGGTTCCGCAAAATTATTTTGTGTTTAAAAGAGTTCTGTGGCCAAATACAATTGGGAAACACTGGCCTAGGGTGAGACTGAACCTAGAAACTGAGGGAGAGGTTGGAACTGGGAGATGGGGAGAAGGAAGCTGGGTTAGCTGGGCAAGGTGACTGGGGCTAGGGAACCACTGGCTGGGCTAACAACACTGGGCCCAGGAGAGGAGATGGGGAGATTGAGACTGGCTGAGCAAGGAGATTGGGACTACTGTGGGGAGAAGCAGGGGCACAGGAGACACATCTGACATGGAGCTAGAGTGGGGGGGGCAGGCCCAGGAGCCAGTGGTGGGGTTGGGGGAGACTGAGAGTGGATGAAGAGCCTGGGGATGGAGACAAGTCTGGGAGCCAGTAGTGGATGAGGGAAGAGACGTATGAGGCTGAGATTGGCCAGGCAAGAAACTGGGACCTTGTGTGGGGAGGGGGAGAGACGGGCTGAGCAATCCCAGAGGGGGAACAAGACTGGCTGGGCAAGGAGACCAGAACTGGGGGGAGAAGCATGGGACTGGGCCAAGGAACTCGGGTTGGTGGGGGTGGGGAAGAGACTAAACAGGAACAGATTGCAGGGGTTGAGGCAGAAGGGTTGGTGCCCATTAGAGAACACCACTCCAGAGCCTAGAATGGAACCCAAAATTCCTAAGTCCCATCATCCCTCGCCTGTCAGCAAACAGCTGTGAATCTCCTTGGCAGAGTGTGTGTGCCATCCCTGGCTCTGTTTGTCTGCAGTGAGGATACCAACCTACTACTGCTATCAGTTACTTTGCCCCACTTACAGAGATCTGTACCATGGATCGGTTCCAACCCTGCTGATAACTCATGCTGGTACAAATTTGATGCAACACAGTGGAATTTAGGGTTTTTTTTCAGTTAGCTTTTTTAAAAACCCTGGATATTATACAAAAAATTGAATTGATGTTAAGTTTACAAAGTCAAGCACTCAGTAGTTAGGAAATTATCATATTCAACCTTAATCCAGCCCCCTTGGGCGTAAGCATTATGATGAAGCCTGATTATATGATCACATACTATTTTTCCACTGCATCACAAACTCGCTTTGTATATAGGGTGGATTGTGCTCTGGAGTTGGATCATAGCTGTGTTGGAGGAGTAGGTTTGTACAACCCTGCCTCTTTTGTTGCATAAGTGGGAAGGTGTGTAATGAATGAAACAAGGGATTGCCAGAAGAAAAAGGGTTATTTGATGGGTAGGCAGTTAAATGCAACCCTATAGAACTGGATTCTATCTTGGTCTCTGCCACAGTATTCCAGTGCAATGCTGGACAAGTCACCGGAACCAAACTTTTTACAGGAGGTCACTAAGTCTTTCTCATTTTCTCGGTGCCCAATCTGATATCCTGGGGCCTCATTTGCAGCAATACTGAGGACACACAGTGGCAACTGAAGTCAATAGGAGCTGTGCTTTAAAGTCAATATAATTCTAAGAATTCATAAAAATGTCAGCTTCTTGATGTCTGAAATTGGGCACACAAAATTAGTGGAAACTTTTGATCTTAATCTGTGTGCCTCAGCTCTCTGTCTGTAAAATGGGGATAATACCATCTCTCGCCTCAAAAGGGTGCTCTGACCAGGGGGCCCTAGGCAAGGTGTGGGGGACAAGCTCTGTGCCCCTGCAAGGGGGAGGGGGCCTCAGTGGAAGGGGCAGGGGGGAGGCAGACAGCCCTCCACACCATCCAGATGGCAGCGCTGGACCCTCCCCCTAGTCCTTGGAGCTGCTCAATGCAGGCAGTGCAGCACTTTAAAGGGGCCTGGAGCTCTGGCTGCCTTAGAAAAGCTCATGAGGAAATTAATAATTCTGTCTCCAATGTAGCATTTGAATAATGGATAGCAAATAAGGCTGGGGCAAACACTGTACAGTGAGTATAAAACCACATTTGGAGCAGCTGCCCTTTAACAGTGATGTGCACTGAATGAGTCATGCGGGCCTGTGGAAAACAGCATGCACTCATGTAGTGAGACCACAGCGCAATGCATGTGCACAGGCAACCGTCGTCCTGGTCATTTCCTAGCTAGTGACTGCTCGACTTCATAACCTTTATAATCAGAGACTCTGAAATATCCGGCTGGAAGCGAACTTGAGACACCAAGTCCAGGCAAGACCAAGTAAACGGAGACCATCCCTGCCCTGTGTTGTCCAACCTGTTCTGAAAACCCTCCAGGGATGAGGGTTCCTCGGCCTCTCTTGGAAGCCAGCTCAGAAGTTCCACTCCCCCAAGAGTTAGTTTTTTCTAACACCTCACCTGACTCTTCCTTGCTGCAGATTAAGCTGATTACTTCTTGTTCTACCTTCAGTGGACCAAGAGAACGAGCAATCACTGTTATCTTTATTATAAATCTTCACGTATTTGAAGACCGTGATCCCTGACTGTGAGGTCATCCCTCAGTCTTCTCTTCTCACAACTAAGTCTGCCTTGTATTTCTAACCTTTCCAAATTGATTGGGTTTTCTAACCGTTTTATCAGACCACTCCAGCTGATACAGCCTAGAATATTCACCTTTTTTGTAACTCTATCCAATTGCTGATTTGTTTTCAGCTTCTGATCCACTATAACCCCAGATTGTTTTCAGCAGACTACCCCTTAGCTAGTTATTCCCCACTTTGAAGTTGTGCATGTGATTCCTAAGTGAATTACTCTGCACTTGTGATTATTGAATTTTATCTGGTGGAATTCAGAACAATTCTCCGTTGTGTTCTTTAATCGGTTTTCACATAGTGTGTAACTATGTGGAAAGGATGCTGGTGCTTATATTTTTCTGCTAGAGATACTACATTATGCTGTATTATAGGAGTGGCTGAAACACAAGACAAAAGAGTATCCAAATCAAATATTGCCAACAGAGTTTGCAGCCTCCCAGAATCAGTGTGGCTCAGAGTTTACATACTGTGTAAAGTGAAACACACTTTATCTTTGTTCCATAGCCCAGAAATGCCTCTTCCTCCTGTTCTCATAAACAATCCTGACAGTGGTTCTTCTGTCTCAAGACAATACTTGAAAGTAGCAGGAAGGGAATTTTTTGAGAGAATCAGGAGTGAAGTTAAAATGGATCAATAAACCTCAATTCAGGAGGTATTTAAGCATAGGCTTAAGGGTGGGCACAGTGAGGGTGTGGACTTTTAAGCACCTCCAAAAATGCTTTGCTGAATCAGGGCCAGCATGTAAAGCCATTTACATTTTGATGTAAATCAGTGACACATTTCTAAGGTCGACTTACAAGTCTGCCCCTCCAATGAGCCCCTCATTGCTGTATAGTTTAGGTGCCCCCTTAGTGGCATAAGGGGAGTAACTGTCCCGCTCAGAAGCAATGCAAATGAATCAGGGGAGGAACCCGGCATTCTGGCTTGGTTTTGTAAGTTAAAAGAGTGAGTGCTTCCCAATCACTGACTCCCATTGGGTGGTAAGAATTCTTACCTTGGTAGGGACCAGCAGCGGGAGAGGAAGGAGCAGGAGAGGTACTAGCACAGCAATCAGATAATTCCTGTGGGCCAAAATCACTCTCCACACAGCAGGCATGCTGCTGGATCTAGCTCAATGCTGAAAGGTGCATAGGTCTGTTTATGGGGACTATATAAAGGCTCGAAACATTAAACATTGACCTTGGCAGGTTGGCTGTTGTTTTTAGATCCGCGATCAGAGTGAAAGAGAAAAGAGGTGGCAAAGAAGGAAGGACAGATCAGGAACTTTCCAAGGGAAATCTTTCTGATGCAAGCTGATAAATTCAGCAGCAAATTAACTCCTTGTGGCCTAGCCAGTCCCACATTGATACAAAGGGACATATTCAAATATCCAGGCACAAAGCATAGGTGCCCACTGTTCTGCTTGCAGCCAATCTGAATTGACAAAGACAGCTAACATTCTGAGCTTCCATAATAAAATGTCAGGGTATGTCTACATTAGAGTTGTTCAGAAAAAAATTGAGTTACGTCCAAACTGCAATTGCATTCTTTCGAAAGAAAATCAAAACAACTGAGGGGTTTTTCCAACATTGGTAATCCTCATTCTACAAGGAAGAAGCCTTTTTGCGAAAGCGCTCTTTCAGAAAAAGGCGTGTGTGGATGGGGAAGAGGGAGTTCTTTTGAAAGAAGAGGAAAGAGAAAAAAGCACAGGTGCCTTGGCGGCCACTCTGTCCATAGTAATCACAGCTGAAATGTGAGAGAGCATCTATTCAGTGTGGACACTATCTTTCGTAAAAGCAAATGGCTTTTGCTATGTGCTTTTGCAGTGTGGATGCTCTCAGGCCAGTTAGGGGACCACAGGCTAGCATGCATGGGACTTAACATCAGTGTTAACATTCCTGTAAACTGAGCTCTTGGACAGCCACCCCGGAGAGATTCAGGTGCTGCCCAGCTGATTGGCAGAGCGCCCACATCCACACATGCCTCAGTGCACAGAACAAAATGTATTCCACACTTCAGAAATAGCCTCAGTCACTGACTGGGGGAATTCTGCAGATGGTGAGAATCCTCCTATAGTCTATTGTGTTCTAATAAAATACTTCAAATGCTTAGGAAAGTATGGCCTCTCCCTGAAACTGTAAGACACCAGGGATTCCATCCGGCGCATCTTGTGACAGCAAAAACCACTAGAGCAACATTGAAGTGACCAGAACCACTCAGCGATGGAATTCCAGCCCTAAGCCTGGGAGCAGGAGCACTAGGTCCGACGGACCCAGCATCTGCGGCAGGGCAGTTCCTGGCACGTGCACAGTGCCCTGCAGCAGAGGAGTGGGAGTGCAAAGGTCTGCCGAGAACCCAGATCCCTCCGAGCAGGTTTGTGAACAAGGCCTGGGGCTCCAGGAGGAGACTGCAGAGAGCCCAACCTTTCTCTCTCCTATCCCGCCATGCTTGACCAGCCCAGGAAGAGAAACGGCTCGTTTTGTGCTGTGATTATTGCCCTAAGTAGTTAAAAGTTTTGATGGGAATTAAACCACAAACTGAGCCCAGTTTGCTGCTGGTGTAAACAGGCACAGCCCCACTTACTTTAGAGCAGCACCAGCTTACAGCAGCAGGGTATGTTGCCCATATTCCAGGCAGGTGATGTTACCTCATGCGGGCACAGTTCTGAACGCCTGGCTCACACAGAACCACCACTGACAGACTGGCCTGAGTTAGATGTTCAGGATTGGGCCCAAAGTCATAAAACAGAGGGTGCACTGGCTGATTCGGAAATGCTCTAGCGTGCTGCACACTCACTGACCCTGCTGACGTGCACTGAGTTTATTGGTGCACATTAACAGAGTGCTGGTTGAAATGGAAGCACAATAATACGCACTAAGGAACTTCAGCAGGGCCACCTAGGCCAGTTACGGCACCACAGGCTAGCACACATGGGACTTAACATCAGTGATCCCTGTAAACTGAGCTCTTGGGCAGCCACCCCAGAGAGATTCAGGTGCCGCCCAGCTGATTGGCAGAGCACCCACATCCACACATGCCTCAGTGCACAGAACAAAATTTATTCCACACATGGATGGAAAAAACTGAGAGGGAACATTGCTTGACGTCCCAGCTAGTACGGACCAGGCCTTCTGTAGACAAGCTCCATGTTCTTGTCTCCTGAGCCAATGGAAGGAACCTCGCCTGGATCTCACTAAGGTGTAGACGGAACTGTTGATAAGAAGCTGCTCCGCACTATGGTGCCCCTGGCAGTGGAAGAGGATGACTTATTCAGGGAGCCGTGCAAATATCTACATTCTAAAGTTCACTCTTCACAAAGAGGGCTGTCAGGACTGAGTTCTGTGGCTGGTTGCAGCGTGGCTCATCAGCACACGCCACTACAAAACATCGCCAACAACTGGTTGCTTACTTGATTTTTCACATCCACATTCAGAGTAAACACAATCATGTGATTTGTTTAGTGCAGACGCATCCTTGCACCTGTGCTTATGAGCCCTGGAGTCCTTGTGAAGACATTAATTTAAACCCCACAGCTTCAAGGTGCACGATTCAGCGTACAAACGACTTTGCCATTGCTGCAAGAATGCTTCATATTGGCCCCATGACTGGCCATATAGCTTACAGGCCATAAATGTGGTCACTGTTCTGGGGCAATCACAAAGCTGCTGTGCAGGCCTGGGCAAAATACCCTCCCAGGGCCAGATCCAGCCTGCCAAGCCAGCAGATCCAGCTTCAGGCAGACTCCCTGCCTCCCCCCTGAAAAAAGCAGCTGATGTGGGGCTCTATTTCAACAGCTGTGAGCCCCGGGGGCGGGAACAGAGGCTTCATGTGCTGCCGCTGCCCTCAGCATAGTCCCATTGGCTGGAGATACTACATTATGCTGTATTATAGGAGTGGCTGAAACACAAGACAAAAGAGTATCCAAATCAAATATTGCCAACAGAGTTTGCAGCCTCCCAGAATCAGTGTGGCTCAGAGTTTACATACTGTGTAAAGTGAAACACACTTTATCTTTGTTCCATAGCCCAGAAATGCCTCTTCCTCCTGTTCTCATAAACAATCCTGACAGTGGTTCTTCTGTCTCAAGACAATACTTGAAAGTAGCAGGAAGGGAATTTTTTGAGAGAATCAGGAGTGAAGTTAAAATGGATCAATAAACCTCAATTCAGGAGGTATTTAAGCATAGGCTTAAGGGTGGGCACAGTGAGGGTGTGGACTTTTAAGCACCTCCAAAAATGCTTTGCTGAATCAGGGCCAGCATGTAAAGCCATTTACATTTTGATGTAAATCAGTGACACATTTCTAAGGTCGACTTACAAGTCTGCCCCTCCAATGAGCCCCTCATTGCTGTATAGTTTAGGTGCCCCCTTAGTGGCATAAGGGGAGTAACTGTCCCGCTCAGAAGCAATGCAAATGAATCAGGGGAGGAACCCGGCATTCTGGCTTGGTTTTGTAAGTTAAAAGAGTGAGTGCTTCCCAATCACTGACTCCCATTGGGTGGTAAGAATTCTTACCTTGGTAGGGACCAGCAGCGGGAGAGGAAGGAGCAGGAGAGGTACTAGCACAGCAATCAGATAATTCCTGTGGGCCAAAATCACTCTCCACACAGCAGGCATGCTGCTGGATCTAGCTCAATGCTGAAAGGTGCATAGGTCTGTTTATGGGGACTATATAAAGGCTCGAAACATTAAACATTGACCTTGGCAGGTTGGCTGTTGTTTTTAGATCCGCGATCAGAGTGAAAGAGAAAAGAGGTGGCAAAGAAGGAAGGACAGATCAGGAACTTTCCAAGGGAAATCTTTCTGATGCAAGCTGATAAATTCAGCAGCAAATTAACTCCTTGTGGCCTAGCCAGTCCCACATTGATACAAAGGGACATATTCAAATATCCAGGCACAAAGCATAGGTGCCCACTGTTCTGCTTGCAGCCAATCTGAATTGACAAAGACAGCTAACATTCTGAGCTTCCATAATAAAATGTCAGGGTATGTCTACATTAGAGTTGTTCAGAAAAAAATTGAGTTACGTCCAAACTGCAATTGCATTCTTTCGAAAGAAAATCAAAACAACTGAGGGGTTTTTCCAACATTGGTAATCCTCATTCTACAAGGAAGAAGCCTTTTTGCGAAAGCGCTCTTTCAGAAAAAGGCGTGTGTGGATGGGGAAGAGGGAGTTCTTTTGAAAGAAGAGGAAAGAGAAAAAAGCACAGGTGCCTTGGCGGCCACTCTGTCCATAGTAATCACAGCTGAAATGTGAGAGAGCATCTATTCAGTGTGGACACTATCTTTCGTAAAAGCAAATGGCTTTTGCTATGTGCTTTTGCAGTGTGGATGCTCTCAGGCCAGTTAGGGGACCACAGGCTAGCATGCATGGGACTTAACATCAGTGTTAACATTCCTGTAAACTGAGCTCTTGGACAGCCACCCCGGAGAGATTCAGGTGCTGCCCAGCTGATTGGCAGAGCGCCCACATCCACACATGCCTCAGTGCACAGAACAAAATGTATTCCACACTTCAGAAATAGCCTCAGTCACTGACTGGGGGAATTCTGCAGATGGTGAGAATCCTCCTATAGTCTATTGTGTTCTAATAAAATACTTCAAATGCTTAGGAAAGTATGGCCTCTCCCTGAAACTGTAAGACACCAGGGATTCCATCCGGCGCATCTTGTGACAGCAAAAACCACTAGAGCAACATTGAAGTGACCAGAACCACTCAGCGATGGAATTCCAGCCCTAAGCCTGGGAGCAGGAGCACTAGGTCCGACGGACCCAGCATCTGCGGCAGGGCAGTTCCTGGCACGTGCACAGTGCCCTGCAGCAGAGGAGTGGGAGTGCAAAGGTCTGCCGAGAACCCAGATCCCTCCGAGCAGGTTTGTGAACAAGGCCTGGGGCTCCAGGAGGAGACTGCAGAGAGCCCAACCTTTCTCTCTCCTATCCCGCCATGCTTGACCAGCCCAGGAAGAGAAACGGCTCGTTTTGTGCTGTGATTATTGCCCTAAGTAGTTAAAAGTTTTGATGGGAATTAAACCACAAACTGAGCCCAGTTTGCTGCTGGTGTAAACAGGCACAGCCCCACTTACTTTAGAGCAGCACCAGCTTACAGCAGCAGGGTATGTTGCCCATATTCCAGGCAGGTGATGT